TGTGTCGGAATTAGACTTTGATTTAAGCACCTTGAACCCACGTCAGGTCTGGTTTTCCCCTGTGTGGGTAAGGGGCCACCTGCTAAACAAATGCCTCGAGTAATGAACGCGTAAATCAAGGCATATCAACCTTAAGAAAATGAAATCTTTACTAATATCTGCCAAAGACGCTAAATACAAGATGATTTGTTTCATCAATAAATGTAAAGTAATAATTCATATGAATAGAAATAACAGGTCCCATAACACAATGCCAATAAATTATTTTAGCTGCTAAGAAATGTATGTCAGTATTTCCAAATGAAACTCTGCAATTCCTTTTAACAAGTCAGCCACAACATAAAAAGCCTATTTTTTTTTACTGAAAGTATGGAAAAGGATCAATAACAGATATAGTAGCAGGAGGAACTGAAACGAAGCTCAAACAACCATCCTTACAGCAGCTTTCAAGTTACCAAATACATGTGTTACTGAAAACAAATGTTCCTTAGTGATCACAAAGTGGAGGAGCTAATGGGGATGGACTTGCGAAAACAGAAGCTCTAAAATAATAAACACACTCAAAAGAAAACAATTCTTCATTGCTATAATGACAATAACCATGTTGTGCATTCATTATCATGAATAATCAGTGAGCAAGATTATGGTCTCAAAATGAATAGGGTGTGTCCTTTAGACAAAGAGATGGCAACTTTACGCGTTTTTTTTCGGATTTTATTGCGTCAGTGGCCAAGTGAGGGTTTCATCCTCCAATTCTATCTATCTAAGTGTGGATATGGCCAAGTGTGGAAACTGCTGTATCAACTAAACAGAGCCCCCATCTCAAAATCATATTTGGCCTCATTTAGTTTAACGTTTATATTGACAAGTATATCCTCAAAGTCAAAGCTGTTGTGCGTAGACGGCTCTGCTAAGATTGTTCCCTAGTTTAGTTTTCATGTTATGTGTTTAGATAGGTTCCTGTTTTATTTTGATAGTCTTGTCTACCCTCATGTGTCTAAAGTATGTTTCCTGCCTTGTCTGTTTTCCCGCTGTTGTGATTGTCTAAATTGTCTTCACCTGGTGTTGTCTGTCTAGTATATATAGTTCTCGTCTTCCCCTGTCTCGTTGCCAGATTGTCTTGTGTGTTCCAAGCATTCCAGCGTTAAGATCATTTGTCATTATCCTTAGAGTTATCGTCCATAGAGAGTTAGATTAAGTAAGTCGTTTTTTGATAGTATAGGTTAGACAGTTTATTGAGTGTTTGTTTTGTTACTTTATGTATTCAGTGTGTTGTTACCTGATTACATTAAAACACTTTATTTTGATACTTTGTTTGTCTCTGCATCGTGCATTTAATTCCACGCCTTTGTACAACCTTAACAAAAGCACACGCATGCCCCTTTACCAATAGGGTTCATGGCCTATTCCTTTGTTCTTGGCTGGTTAAATATTCAGGAAGGTCTCTGATATGTTACCTGATCGGCTGGAGTAAAGTTACAGCCCTTCATCGTCGTGATCAGGACAGAAATGACACATGCACATACTGTATTAAAGGGTTTAGTTTCCACAGACGCGGGCAGAAGTCTTACAAGCATAGACTCATTATGTTCCACATTTTCCAGTTATCTGGAGCCCCATTCAATCATGGCAATTTAGAATCTGTCCGTAACTTTGACTGACAAATAAATACAATTCCATTTTCTCATTCCCTCGCTCACAGTGCTGCTCTGTTCCCTGACTGGTCCCTTCTTCCTATTGCTTTTAGAGACAAGTGTATGTGAGATTAAACTGCTCCTCAGGTCTGGGATACACCAGCCTGTCTCTGGGGGAGTGGACTACTGTACCAATCACTGTCATTCATGATGAGACCGCCTTGCACACACACACACACACAAAGGGAGGGGTATGATGCCCCAGTAGTCATGAGTAAAACAGAGAGGAAATCTGGGGAATATTAAATGCGATGTCGGAAAGCTGAAACAAACTGAAGGGAGATGAAGTAATAAAATGAGAGGATGGAAGGAATGAGGTGAGAAGGGAGCTCCAGTAAATATGGCTGTGCTTTTTCAGCCGAATGATTGACAGACAGTAGAGGAATGCAGGGCAACGGCTGGCCTCGAGCACACTTAATAACTTTACTCATCCTCTGGTTTGCCCACTTAGTCCAGGAAACCTTAGCCTTTCCCAAGCTAGGGGAAATGCCACTTCAATCGCAGGGTAAAACCACTCTAGACCAGAGAAGAGAGTCCAGCAATCAGCAGTGACAGCGTACGTGTTTTTGTGTGCATGTCTTTTTGTGCGAGTGTGTGTGTGTTTGTGGTGATCAAGACTGTCAGATCTGATTACAGCCTGTTGCAGTAGCCTAGAAAATGAGAAGTGAAGAGAGACTACAGTGATGTGCCAGTGCCCAGTGAGCATTATATTCAATTATATATAATTCACTTGTCATGAACCCACATGTTAATGCGTAAACATACATATACAGTATGTCATATAAACAGACACAGATACAATGCCTGCCCATCATTTTCATTTCACATTGAATGGCTCAAGCAACTAGCAATTATAGTCGTCAAAAACAGCATGATATTTTCTAATGGTATAATATTCATCTGATATGCATAAACCACTATACAGTTGTTTATATAGTGGTATATAATGTTACCCATTGGAATCCTGCTCTGAACAGTGTATTCATAGGATCATTTTAGCTTTATGTTGATTTTATTGGGGGTTTGCATGATCAAATGTAAAGGTCCCATGTCATGCTTTTCCGGTTATTACCCGTCCCCTTGTGTGTTATGAAGGTTTTTATGCATGTAAACGGTCTGCAAAGTCACAACCTTCAAAGTACACCCTGTAGCGAGTAAAACTCTAACACAGAAAAGACCTGTCTATGCTGCCCCAGAACGCCTCGTTGGAGATTTCTCTTTTTCTTCCTGGGTACAGTGACGTGACCATACCCAAATGGACCCATTGGTCCCAATCCGTGGAGCTCCTCACACACACACACTCTCTCAGCGGTGAAACTGTGACGCGCTGGGGGGGGGGGGTGCTAGTGGAGCCTCGCAGCGGCAAAACTGTGGTGCGCTTACACTGTAGGTGCGCCGCGTTTGGGGGTGCGGGTGCTAGTGGAGCCTCGCAGATGGGGGTGCTGCAGCCCCCTCAGCACCCCCCCCCCTTCCCGCGTCCATTCGCGATGTCTCGCAGATCCCACGCAGCAAGCAGGAAATGAACCCAGCTCACACTGTGCGCAGCAGCGAGCCGCGCAACGTCCCGCCAACACGGCACCCAGACCCCACGCAGTATTCTCATCTGTTTGTCATTGCTGGTGTCATTTTCTGGTTGCTAACGCCATTGTAACACATAATCACTGATGTTCCGCTGTAACGGTGGTGGACTCATCAGAACAGAGTGGGCGAGCTGACCAATCAGAGCACAGTGGGCTCACAGGGAGGGTGGGGGGGGGCAGGAGCTCCAACAAGCCGTGTAGGACAGAGAGTGAATACACATACTATACAGAGATGCTGTATGAGAAACCAATGTGAGTTTGGAAAACTGCACAATATAAATCTATTCTAGTAGACCTCAACAATTATTGGAATTATGATCAGTAGAAATGGCCATGACATGGGACCTTTAAGTCGTTAAGATAAATTATATAAAGAAATCATATTTATAATATGAATAAAAGGTTTTTTCAAGACAGCAACAGCCATCCTTTCAGCTGTATTAGTGACTAACAGAAGAGATTCAATGCCTTGTAAAATCTCATAAGCTTAAGGTTTGGAATCTTTAACTGAACCTTACCTGCAATTAATGCACTGTATTCACGTGCAATGTGTTGCCCCTATAAACATAAACTGGTTGAATTAATGCCAGATTAAAGTGAGCAAACCTTTGCCATATTTGTTGCAGTGCATCACGGCAAACTTCGCCTCAGCGGCACATAAATGTAGTAAGAAAACATTAGCTAGCCATGAATGATTATAGGTTTTAAGTTATAAGTCAGACGACTAAATGGCTTTTTTAGCCGTCTCCCCGACACTGGTTATATGCTGTAACACCATGATTTCTGTATGAATGATGCGCTATGTGTAAACCTCTGGCTGCTTAGCCCGTCACTCTTCCCTCTCTCTATGTGGGTTAAAAGTGTAGTAAACACCTGATTTACTAAATTAAGGGAGACTTAATTAAGGGACAAACATCTTTCATTACTGGGGTGACTTGTCTCCTTGTCTCGCCATACAATAACACATATGGCAGAGGACACACATAAACACGCTAACATTTCTTTACATGCCATTTCAGTAGGACACAAACAGTACACTCAGAAACCACCCACTGAAAACCAATTCCTTTAAGTATGATGTATTCTACTGACTGCGAGGGCCAACATTCCTTGCACATGTATGGACAATTAAGCCTCATTTTGGCCCAAATTGCTTCCTGTAATGTTGAGTGGACATAGTTAACAGGCTGTTCTGAACTGCACAACAAGATCTAAAGTATCGGCTCCAAGTTAAGAGAGCGATGGAGAAAAATGATGAATGCTCGCCACCCCCCACCCCCACACACACCTCCATCTCTCTACACACTGTACAGTACAACACGCTTACTTCCCTAACAGCACTGATACGATCATTAGAGCCAAAGAGTTTGGAAACTTCAAAGATGAAAAAGAATGCTGCCAGCTTTCTTAAGCCTTCTGACTGACCCTCCCACATGTCCTAGCCCACTGGTGGACTAAAGGAGCCACACACATAGACATTTTCTCCACCCACCTCAGCGTCCATTAGAGAATCAGAAAAGGGAAAGAAACCATGCAGAAAAAGACAAGATTGTGTACTCTTGCAGAGGTTGTGAAGACCTCTGTCATATTATATGTATCTGTGCATGCAAGATAGCAAAAGTGGCATATTCCAGAAACAGCGCACATTGAACATCATCCCCATTAATGTGCAGCTGTTGGCCGATCAGCTTCATTTCTTTGTGAGTTTCTGTGAATGTGTACTGACCTCTGTCTGCAGTGTATTGGCCCGTTGCTCCTTGGCGCTGAGAGACTCCTTGAGCACATCGATGTGTTGTTTGCAGTCTGAGTTCTGATTGGTCAGTGTTTCCAGTTTGGTCTGCAGGGCCTGCATCTCTGACTCCTTCCTGTTCAGCTCCTGCTTCAGCTGCTCTATCTGAAAATCACAGAAACAACCACACATTTGTAATGAAAACCTTATATCATCATTGAGTCAATTGACTAGCAGATCACAACAACACACACACAAACCACATACACACTTCATGCAAAAACACATGCTCTGAAACATGCTTTATAATTTAGGAGTAGGCAATATGGACATCAATAATAGCCACAGAGCTAACTTATTATTCAAGTTTTGTTTATTAATTCTACTACAGTAATTCTTTTTTTACCATAATGAATAAAATACATTTGTTTAAAAAAAACAGGCTGTGACACATCTTGCTAAAACTTAATTAATTTTTCATCCAATTCGAAAACTTTAATATATACAGTAAATATGCCAATCGTGTCATTTTTTTGGAGAGATGATACATTAAAGTCACACAAGCCCTACATTAACAGTCCTTACTCGAGGGTGTCCCATGCCTATTGTTTGCTCCATAGACACACCAATGCAAACAGCCAAAGAGTGAAAATGCATGCAGCCAGACAGAGTTATAGAGAGCAATATTACGCTCACGTAGTTGACAGATTACAGATTTTATTTAAGAGAGGCTACTCAGAACAGGCCAAAAAACCACAAAGGAAATCAAATGCATTAACAGAGGGAGGTTTCTGTGCTGAGGCTAACTATGTGCACAAGATTGTCATCTCTCTGCTGGTGCCAAAAAAGCTCGAAGCTGATTCAAGGAGAGATTTCTCTAATTGTGTGAGAAGGGTTCGCCTCATAACAGGGGAATTCTGACTGGACCAGAGCTTGGCCAATCAACCCTCACTCAGAAATAAGGAACCCGAGAGAGAAGGGAGAAGGGGGACTGACTAATAAGAGAAGGGAGCCAAAGGGTGAGGTAGAGAAACAAATGACTCTGTGAGGTGAGACTAGTGAGAGGACAGTCAGACAGGGAGAAAATGGAAGTAGGAAAGTGTGTAGGGAGTAGACTAAAAATCATATGATAATGTGATAGGGCGTTAAAGATAAATGAAGGAGCAATAATATTAGGTTGAATAAAATAAATACTGAGAGAGGAGAGATGCTAATGAGAGGAGTACTTCAGCTTGTTCAGTGATCCAGGGTTGTTGAGGGGGGAGGTGGAAGGTGGAAGCTGTTCTGATGGAAGACACACATGGGGACAAGGCCTTCTCCTAAAGAGACACAAAGACAAGAAGACAGCAAGCCACTAAACTCCAGCCCACAGCAAGCTGGGAAACTGACCAGGTTTTCTGTTTGCTCCTCCAACTCCCCCGCACTTTGCACTCCTCAAGCACACCACTGAGGTTTCAGAATGTTGCACTTGTCAAGTTCAGTTAGAAATGATTATGTGGATAAATAAATTCAACTCTACTCTAATGCCCAATTATCATACTTGAACAAATATCCATGTTCTCAGAAGTAACTTTCTATTGTTTCGAGCAAATCAAAGCCCACAGAGGAAACCAGAGAGGACAGGGAAGCGGTCCTCTCTGGTTTCTCTTATCACAGTCTCACCTCAACACCCGTCGCTACCCCTGCTGAAAGACCACGACCCTAAACACTTCAAGGATATAGAATGAATCTGTGTGCCTGTGCATTTCCATGGTGACTCTCTGTGTGACGCAGAAAGATGAGACATGGGAGAGCGAGCCAGGGCCATCACGGTGATGTATATAATCCCAGGTCAGTATAGAGAGCTCTTTCCTCTGTCGTTGTAAACTCACATTCATCTGTCAGGGCCCCATTCATAAAAACATCTCTTTTATGATTGCATCAGGAACTTCCCTGGTGCAATGACAAATGGGCCCTACAAAGAGCACCATTAATGACAAAACATTTTCACATGGCGCGCTACTGATAGGCCTTAACGAAACTTGAGACTACATTTTTACATACGGCTCCTGTAGATATGTGTATGTACCTATTCCAAATAATTATGTCAGTCTGGGAACTGCTGGGTCCCAATGAATAAACCAGTATACAGCCTGGACGAGAGACATCTTAGTCAGGCCTTCCTGCTAGCTGAGAATAGGACAGTAAATAGACACTGTAAGCTGATAGGGCCTGAGTTCCCTCCCTCAGCCGTCACAGATAGGAGAGCTGTACAATGCTTGGTCATCACACAGGTAAGGCATACAAGCATTTCATGGGACATAAGAAAGGCAACAAGAAACCTCACTCTAAATATAAAATAACACATTACAAGCGTAGGAGTTCTTGTTATTCATGCAACACAGGAGGCTCTGGATACAGCAGCCAAAAGACACAACATTATGTAACATGCACTTTGGTAAGATTTCACCTCACACTTGGTGACATGCAACAAAACAGTTGTATGTATGTTTCGAGGCAGACATGCATCACTCATGCAGTGCGAAGTGGTCTCAGGTGGCATGCAGAGACATTCTAACCTTAGTCTTCATGAATTTAGAATGGCTCTTGTAGACCTCCACCTGCTTGAGCTCATCATGTCTCTCATCCGGGTGCAGCAGGCCGCTGGTCTTTAACACCTGGACCTCATCCTCTAAGTTTCGGATGTTCCTCTCCAGGGAGGAGATCTTTGTGTCCTGCACCAGCAACAGTAGGCAGGCAAAGAGTCAGCAAAGATCTGACTTTGGATTTCAAACTCTGGACTTTAATACTGTAAGGGAAAACCTGTCTCAGAAATGATTGATCCACCTTTCAATTCATCCCTCTAAAATGTCATGCACAAAAACTTGAGAGAGCAGGTCACTAAACAAATGGTTAACATAGAGAAGGAATGGACGTACTATCATTTTAAAATAGGGATAGGGGCACAGATAGTCTCTTTTGAAACACATTGATAGTGTTTACATAAGAATTGACAGAAAACGCTGTACAGAATGTAAAGAGGACTTAAGGGAGATTTTAAAACCATGGCTTCTTTTTCATCTACAAACATCTGGCCATTCTGCAAGAAGTACATTCATTTCAGACACATATTGTGTCCTGCAATTCAACATAGTTTACAGAAGACGTCATAGCGTCCTCTATCTAGATTATACCCTATTAATATAATGTCAAACAGGGGAAATATCAAGGCAGACAATTGTGTAGAGACAAGATGTTTCCTTTGCTGTATCTATGAGAGAGTGGAAGGGTTTGTCATGGACAGGTCCAGAGGTTGTTTAGCAGCGCAGGTTCATACATACGTTAAATGCTAAACCTTGGAAAAGAAGAGAAAGGTAATTGAATAAATGGAAGCAGATTGCATGATGCCATCAGCACAAACCACAGGCAACATGTCAGCATCTGACCTCTATTACATCCTCTGACATCACGGTGCTGCACACAGTGCTGCAGGTACCATCCTCAACACCCAGAAACGCATATACAAGGCAAAAAAGAATGCTAAAGTTACGTAAAACACACACATATACACACACACAGAGTGTATGCAAGGACATAGACTTTAAGTGAACAACCAGAAGAAAAAAAAAAGTCAAAGTGGGGGCATTCAAAGACTGTGCTATTCATTCATTTCCATTTCAGCATGTTGGTTTCTGTATTGTAAACAGTGCTCTAGGTTTAATAACTGATTTCTATCTATTTCTGCTACAGGGCACAGAGACAAAAAAAACATAACCCTGAGGAAGAGAAACAAGGCAAACTCAAAGGTAGAACAGAGTGTAATATCAAAAATAACATTGGGTAGAAAGGGAACACATGTCAAAGAGCAGGGACTTCAAACCGCTGAAACATGAACTACTGCACGCCCGGTGCTGAATTCCAACGCAGAAACAATTATGATACTGATAGAGGAAACAGAGATTGTATATTTGTAGCCCATATTCAGTTGAACGAAGGATAATGGGGAGAGCACTCATTACTGTACCTGCCAGATTACGTCAGGATCAAAACAGAAAGGGGGGTTGGTGTTCTGTAATTACAAAACGGAAACATCCACAACTTAAAAAAGGTAACAGCACAGACATCACAGAAGCTGGAACAAACATACACACGGATCAGGAACATATCGAATTTTGAATCCGTACACAACAACGTCAACAGATGATAGTTTCAAAAAACCACAAGGCCTCCTGGGAATATGTAGCTCATTATCAGCAGCGATAAAGTTAGACAGTTGCTGTGTCTTCCTCTCTTTTTCCCCACCTTCATATATCTTATCAATCTGGCAATGTTTATTTCTCTTTCCATTCATTTTAATGCAGTCCGATTTTAATGATGCCTCTCTCGAGCATTAACAACAGCGTGGGCAGACCTGCACATGTGCAGTCTGTTAATAGGCAGACAAATTACAAAGTATGTGTGAAAAATAACTGTGGTTTTGCTGTTAAGGAACTACTTTTAGAACAAGCATTTGCTGGGTAAAAACTGTGTGTGTGGGGGTGTGCATGCAGACACATGTGGAGTCAACTGCATTTTTCACAGCTCTAACGACTTCAAAAGGCTGAGATGAGAGTGAAAGCTTCCATATGTGACATTTGAAACAAATTGAATAAGTGTTCAACTCTGCATGGGCCAGTAATGGCCTTTACATGGGCATGGCCGCCATACGGACACGAGGCAACAATAAGACAATGTTCTGTAGATTGTTTGTGCGTGTATGTCTGTGCCTGCATTAACAAGGTGAGTCAGCTCCTCTACCACTGCTCACATTACAGCAGTGCACCTCAATAATTAAAGCTTTGTTGGTATGGAGATGATACCGGACGATGCCAGACAACATGCTGCAACTGATAAGCAAACTACACTGCAACATCAGACTTCAATTCTTATCACAACACCTACATAAGCACAGTATTACTTAAATTGTTGCCTACTCTCGTTAATTCCTAAACCCACTGTGAGTCCTACCTTCATATCAACAACAGTCTGCAGAGCTCTGGTCTTGGCCGGTTCGGCCTGGAGATGGTTCCGGCGATGGAGTTCCTGAGGAGGAACTCTGTAAAAATAAGCTTGGCGGCTCATCATCTTTTGCACTTTTAAACACCCACAGTTTCACAGCCACTTAAAAAGATGGACTGATGAGTCTGAGCAATTCCAACCTCTATCCTTCTTTAAAAAAGGCTGTTATCTTCTACTGTACATCCTTAAAAAATGATTGAAAAGAAAAATAAAATCCTTTAAGATGGTCCCCGTTTAATGCTCTCCGAGGACTTCTCTCCGTCTTTAATAGCAGGTGCTGATATGTTCTCTGCTCTCTCTTCTTCTTTCTCTGCTCATCATCGGGAATGACACACTCGGCTATAGGTCATATGAGTCCGTCTCTATCACTCTTTCAGTCTCTGTCTTTCTATTCCTTATCTCTCACTTGGTATCTCTGACTCTCTCGCAGATGTCTCTGGCAACCTAAAGCTCTTGCTTAGCAACACTTTCTACCAGCACGAGCGCTACACTTTTTCTATCAATAATTAATGGTAGCTCTGACCTACAACTATGCCCACACACAAGCACGCACACACACACATTTGAGCTAATGGGCACAAACACAAATACCGACACAGAGCAGGTTAAAGTTAAAATGCTTTTTGATAAATAAAAAACATTTTAAATAATAAAATCATAAAACCTGGAGTGACCATTTCATGGTTGTGTTATGTTGTTGGACTATATTGTACATCTGCTATATTAGAAAGACCTCCCTATAATGGAGTCAAATACAAATCGGCATTGACAAAATCCTCTAAAAGGACCCTAAAGCTTAATCAACACCTCTCTAAAAGAGTCACAGAAAAATCTAGAGGAACGTCTCAAAGGCCTTTTAGGCAACTGCTCTATTTACATCCTCTATTTAACACAAATATTATTGCTGATGCACAACCATGCACTCAGCTCAGAGTCTATTCCAAGCTCAAGGTATCTGCTATAACAGCAGCTATCACATATCTGTGTGCGTAGTCTATGTGTGCGGTCAGAGCAAAGCTACCAAACGTTCACTGTATGGCTGTGTTGTATTCTCTTGTTTATTCATTCCTATGTTACTTGACTGACTACACTGCACATTCTTAACTTTTTGTTCAACTTTATTTTCCTAAGGAGTTATAAAGAGTAAGTTCTCTTTGTTAACCCTTGTGTTGTGTTCAAAAGCTGTTACCGTTCATGGTGTTCGCGGGTCAATTTTGACCCATGATTTATCTCAGTCCAAAACACACACAAAAAATGACTATCATCCAATATTGTTTTAACTACATCATAACTAACTTATAATGCATTCATAACCGTACAATCCTGTTGTAATTTAGTGTTATGGCCCAAAACACATTACACCACATATTGCACACGTGCATATGTGTGTTCAGGTTCAAGTGTTTTAGTGTACATATTCTTTGAGCAAGGTCGAGTTCCCGTGGGGGGAGGGGGGCAGAGGGAGGGGAGACCAGGTGCATGTTGCGAAAAAGTATTGTTACAGTGTATGAAGGGGGTGGGGCTGGGGTGTCTAAAGTCAAAGATGAATCTTGATTGGTCCAAATTTGACCTCGAGTCACCCAAAACAATTCTGCTGGGTCTCCCCAGACGCGAACACCAAATTATACACTTTTTTTTTTAGAGACCTTCAGACTTGGCAAAAATGGTCAAAATCAGTTTTGTAGTGTTTATATAGCTGTTGTGGAGGATATCATGAAGCCTTGTTCCGATAAAAAAAAACTAGAGCGTAGTTATTTTATAATTTTAACTTGAAACGGGTCACGGGAGACCCGAACACAACATACTGTAAGGGTTAAGAACACCCTGTTCACACCAACACATGTTGACACCCAAAGCTCTGCAGCTCATCCACTGTCTGATCTGCTTGCCACTAGAGCAGTTCCATCGGAGCAATTGTGGGTCAGGGGCGCCTCAGTTGTGGTCGTGAGGGAGTCGCCCTTGCTCAAAGGGCCCTAAATGGTGGCAAGCACTGCTCTTTGAATTCCCATCCAGATATATATTTACTGAACCACGGGCATGTGACCCCCAGGCAAGTCAAATCTTTAGGCCACCACTTAAAGCTTCAGAGGGGTTTCATTGCAGGACTATTCCATTGCATGCCATGCTAGATGGAAAATAATAAGTTTGTAGACAGTGGGACAGAACATAGGCTTCATATCAAAGAAAATGCACTGTAAGAGACCAAAGTAAGTGTGTGTTGCTGCTGCTCCCTGGTTGAACTACAGGCAGCTGTGGGAAATGTAAAAACATGGACACATGGAATACCAACTGAGCTACATAGGATCATAAAATAGATAACGCACTCACATATTGACTTATTCCAAATATAATGTGTGTAAACAATATATAATGTAGCACCTCTTTGAAAAACATTTAAACTGTTTGAGTGGTACTGAATAAAGTAAAGTACCTGATTCTCTCACCAATGGGACAGATACATAAATCAAAGTTACAGACTGATTAAATGCAAGAGGAACTACAATACCATCATGGCCAAATTTGGAAAAAAGAACAGACAATCAGTGGGTAAAGAAAAGCCACCAAATCAGGCAGGAACCACATAAAGAGGGGACATCTATATTAAGGCAGTCAGAGGCCATGGTTTCCCATTGCTATCATTCTTCCCAGTTCTCCCACTAAGTTGTAATGACAAGGGCCTTATCCTCTTGTCCATGTCTGTTGTGGATAAAGAGGGATTACTGCTGTCAGAGCATGCCTCCCACAGACTGGTATGCCCACTGCTGCCACAAGCCTAATCTCCTACTGACCATATGTGTAATATTGAGTCACTGTGAGTGTGTGTATGTCAGTATCTTTGTCCGTCTGTAGTATTTATCTATCCCCTGGAGAGAGTGTGTGTACTAACCCCTTATCAACAACGGTTGGAGTACAGTTAAGAGTACAATGGGGGAAATTAAGTCATGCAAGAGAGCATGTCATCAAAGACTGTCTTCTCTGCTCCACATGTGTCAGAGGACCGAGCATATGGAATGAATAGGATCAAACGTAACACTATAGCAATAAGTGCCGGCATCCTGAATGAAGGATACGGTCAAAAGGTTCAATTCTAGCCTGAAGGCAAGGGTGTCATATATGCCATGTGCAGACTACTACATGCACAGATTCTACGCACACACACACACTCCCATACACGCACATTCATCAATCACATTCCCATCCTTTCTCCATCAGTGTGCGAAAAAGAAAACACATTTGCTTGCCACAAATGTGAAAATGGGTTTTCCTATCAGCTCAATGTCTTAAAAGAGCAGTTTGAAAAGACAAAAGGAAAAATCAGACGGAAAGCCTTAAAGAGAAATAGGGAGGGGGCGAGGAGAAGTGTGAAGGGTGTCATTTTGTCACGATAAACCTTTCCGCTCAAACATTCTGTAGGATCAACAGAGCGTGGTGAGTGTGTGGTGCCCGGGGTGTGCCGGGCAAAGGGAGCATTTTGTGTGTTTGTGTGAATGTTTGCCGACAGCTTTAAAGTTGTCTTGTTCATTGAGACGAAGGAGCCCTAAAAAGCCAGGCCTGGGACAGACTTTTCACTAATCAACCTAACCACAAATGATAGCATATCAGCCCAGGGAACAAGAAAAGGAGAGTGGGAAACGCTGATGAACAGACAAACACAAACAGGCTGAAGGCAGATCAGTAAAAAGAGAACTTATAGACGGTGGCATGTGAAAGTGAAAAAAAGAGAAAAGAGAAAAGAGATTACAACAAAGGGGGATTTGCTGACATGATCTCCCACTTCTCCTCAACAGTCTGAAAGTTTAAAATAGGGACATTTTCATCAATGTCTAAGAGAGGATGCATGGGCAGACAAAGAGGGCCTGCTAAAAAAAAAAAACAGCAGCTTCTGATGCCAGACGAGGAGCCATAGGTGTTTTGTGCTTAACACCAGGGCAATGCAACATATTCTGTCGTACTCATCCAAGGAATATTTGGAATCTGCGGTACGATATGTATGTACGTTTATATGCCATCAGCAAGTCAAATATCTCACAGTGGGAGTGTGCATGTGTGTGTGTGCTCGCCCTTGGCAGCAAGTCAAAGCTGGGCAGGAGCAGACCAGTGGTGCGGCTGTTATTACTGGGTCTACTGGGACACGGTGGCTGGGGAGAGCCGATTAGGCCGAGATGTATGCCCCTCAGCGTGTGTGTATGTGTGTACCATTACAGTTAGTGCATGGAACCATCACACTACTTACATTCTAACAGAACACTGCCACGTTGTGGACATTGCTGGAACTGTATAAACGTATAAGATAATCAAACTGAATTTGGATTCCACATTGTTCTAACAAATAATGGTGATTTTCACCAGTGTAATTATTTATCTCGAGAGCCATAGTGAATATTCTGATATGGATGTGTGCCAGTGATTCTGTGTCGTGTCTGTGCAAGACAGTCTGAAGTTGGAGGAGGAACAGAACACAAGTGAGAAAGCACCACTACACACATTATCCTCTGACAACACAAATCAACAGGTAAAGTATGGATGGAGTGAGCTATATATCCCTACAAACTGCATATAATAAACACATAAGTGCAGACAGTTGGTTAAAGTAACTGGACATCTGGCCATGGTGGTAAAACTGAAAGAGAAAAGGGGAAAACCCTTGCTCAATTCTCTGTTTTGCATTATACAAATATAGGGCCACACAATTGTTTACCCTTCTCCTACCCACATTGTCCTTACATAAAAAGGTACTAACACAAAATGAAGGTGATCATTTCTCATCAATTCACCAAAGGATAGCAAGAAAGCCACTGTGTCAACCCTTAGCTACGTTTGAAGAATAAATAAAAGCAGAGGTGAACTGAAAATGAAGGCATTTATTATCCCAGCTCAAGCTAAACAAGTTGGGTCATTTAAAGGAGAGTAATGGGCGCGGTAATGAAAGGCAGTTTGGCTGGTTTCCTTTGGACCTAATCAAAAGAGCTAAGAGCAGTGCCCCCTAATAGAGGCAATAGCTGCGCTAACATCCCCGGCTTGACTTCACAAACCATGACAAGTGCAAGTGTTGAATTATGTTTATGTGCCAGAGTCGTACTCTGACACATAAACAAACACAAGAGGCCTTCACAAGAAGTACGCAGATTCTTACAGTTGAGTGAGTGCACATATCCTCTTATTAATCTGTATTCAGTCCAAACATTAACACTGACATTCCACACCAACCACAAACATATCAAACTGTCAGACAATGTGATGAATTCCTCTCCACAATGTTGATAAACTACATTTTGAAATCCCCCAGATTTGAGGGTTTTCAGACAGAATTGTTGAATGTTTACACTGTAAGTGCGTGACAACCCAATGTTTATTATCAGCTTAGTTACCAGGAACTACCTTGATGTATCATCTATTTGTTGCTCATGAAAAAAACGTACCTTAACAATACATTATTATTTATGCTCAATACATTTGCTTTATTAGATTATTTTGAGAGTAGCCTGGTAGAACTAACATTTAACATGCCACTTATATGTAATAGACCATGCAAAGTGTTGTTTGCATTGTTAACATTGTTAACTCTTCATTTGATAGTAAATTAAGAAAATAAAAATAAAAACTACAAGTAGCATTTCAAAGAGTCGAGTAGTATCTACAAATCAGTTTGTTTCACTACGAACCAACCTTTTACTACCTCATAATAAGTTCAACACACACACGCACACGCACACGCACACGCACACACACACACACACACACACACACACACACACACACACACACACACACACACACACACACACACACACACACACACACACACACACACACGTGAGTCCATCACCCCATCTTAACCTCAGAGTAGAGGAGGCCAGAAGGCGACGAGGGAAAACACGAAAGAACAACAATCCCCTCTCTTTTCAATCAGGGCGGTCGGAGTGTTTTTGCTCATTAATCATACATTAATATTCAGACAAACATAGCATGTTTTTCTACCTTAGAAAAACACTCCTTTCTCCCACCTCTCCCCCTCACCTCTCAGACCCACTCACCCCCTCCTCCTCCATCGCACCCACAGTGTGTTAAGCTGTCAAGCAGTTAAAAATAGCACAGCACACAGAGTGTGTGTGAACAGGTACTCACCTCTTACACACACAGCATGGTAAGGTCCTTTACGCACGGACACACTCAAACACACAAGTACACACATGCAAACCGGTGGTTGCATTAGCATAGGCTGAAACACCCACGCTGCCCTCTGACAAAATCATCACACTGACCCAACACTCGGCACGGGTGGATATCCCATCAGCCACCTGCAGCACGGGGAGGGAGTGTCCTCGCTAGAAACGATAAGCCGACAGGCCCCAGATGTGCACGCATGCTCACATAACATACACACACAAACACACACAATCATTCTGACTGGGCTTGGCAGACAAACAACATACACAGAAAAACAAGAACATCATGAAGCAAGCAATAGCAGAGTCAGGCCCACATATACAACACACACACACACAAACACACACACACACACTGAAAGAGGGGTAGAGAAATTAAAGGCTAAGAAGATTTAGGAGTTAAAAATAAACAAGGCAGTAGTGAGGAGCACAGAGCAGCCTACTGTGAGCCCTCCTGTCAAAGGATACAAAACACCTGTGCTACTCCACCGTCTGGGCTGTGGCTTTTACATTCTCTATCTAATCAAATCAAGTCTTTGAGGAAACAAGAACATTAAAATAATGCTTCACAGTGGCCTCAAAACAACCAGTGAAGTTGCGACTTACATCTATGTCTGTCCAAAATGTAATCACTTCAAAATGTTATCCTATAAGACATTTATGTGAGGGGCTAAAAAAGCATTTCCAACGTTATTCAATCATTTATTAATTCCAATGTATGACAAGCTTACAGCATAATAAAAAATACCAAATGCTATGCACAATGCACAGACGAGTGGAAAATGAGCAACTGCCATATGAGCATGTGGAAGAACCCCACCCACCCACCCACACACACACACACACACACACACACACACACAAAAACAAACCCGAGTCAGATTGTAAAACTGCATGGCTGAACCCAGGCTTAGAGCTCTCTCTCGTATGTTAATCTGGCCGATTGATAAGACCTGCTGAGCTGCTTTCTGCTTCCCCTCTCTACATAATACAGACACTTTCATTAGGTACTCACACACAAACACATATTCATTCAAAATGCAATAATGTCATTTGCACAGCCAATTGCCAAAATGCATTAATCTCATCAACAGATAAGCAAATGTATAAACACATAAAACAAATAAGTCACATACAAGTATATCATTTGATTATTAATAAAGTATATCACAAAATGTGTTTATTAAAAAGAAAATAGTATTTGAATGTTTGAATGTTTAACCCTAACCTTAACCCTTAAACATGAGAAAAGTGAAAATCATTATAAACATTTCCACACAAGTCATAGCAATTGTTTTGGATTGTAAAAATAGATAACCCTGATTGTGTATTAGAAATGTGCAATATCTAAAAACGTCCAATGATTTCGAAGTGAAGGGTTAATAACAAATGTTGATCAGCCCCACTGTTTAAAAACTGTAAAGATCCCAAACCCTCCCCCCTGCACCACTCATACATACCTCTCTCACATGCATGTTCTCCATCTGCGCCTCCGCCTCCTGTGCCGCCATGGTGATGATGCCTGTCCGCTGTCCCCGGACCCAGTGTCCCTGACCTTGACTCTGACCTTGACCTTGGCCCTGAAGCATCTCCAGCAGCTTCTGGATGCTCTCGTCCCGGGCACCCAGCGTCTGTTTCTGAGAATCGATTCTCATCTCCATCTCTTCCATGGTCTTTCTTAGCAGGAAAAGCTCCTTGGCCTGCCGCTCGTGCTCCGACTGCATCCCGGAGTAATTCTCGTCCGATGGATCCAGCGGAGGAGATGAGGAGGAGAGGCCGTCACACCCAGGCACCTGGCAGGGGCTACACGGCTGGAGTGAACTAGAGCAGGGCGCTGCCACCGGACCCTGGCTAGGAGTGTAGAAGGACTGGTTTGGGCTGATTCTTGGCCCGGGGCGGAGGGTGTTGGCAGGGCTGATTCTCTGCGCAGTGACCGCAGTGTTACAGCCAAAACCAGGGCTGTGAAGGATGACGTCAGCTTCCTGTTGCCTCGGATTGTAGGTGTTCGACGGGCTGACTCTCGGGCTGTTCCTCGGCGCAGGACTGTGCAGGTTGCTGGAACTTTGTCTGGGGCTGTGGCCGGGGCTGAGCCCGCCTCGGTGGTCCTGGTCTGTGTGTTCTCGATAAGAGCTAGAGTTGCCCTGCTGCCGCTGTTGCTGCAAGCGACTGTTCATCTCCCTGTGAGCCCTCAGCTCCTCCTGAAGCTCCTGGACCGTCAACGGAAGCTGCTACAAAGAAAGAGAAAGATTAAGCGCCCATTCTTTCAAAAGAAAACATAAACATTCCAAATAAACAGGCACACATTAAACGTTACTAAACACATGACATTCACACACAGATATATGGTGGGGTACATAAAACAGACCTTGTTTCTTCTGATATCCCCAGGCTGCAACATTGAAATGAGACAAAAAACATGCAAATGTGTAAAGCCACAATAGAATGCACAAAGCAAATACTATCTATCATACATTTTAACCTATAACTTGGATTACTTTGAGCTGTAGTTACATGTTTGTGCCGCTAGGGGGCAACAATTCCCTTTAAACCATAGGGAGGAAAATGACTGTGAGCAAAAATGACTTTAGTTTGCAGGAGGTGAGGGGGAGAAGATAGGATTAGGATCATGGTGTCACTTTCGATAAAACATAAATGCCACCCAACAATATCTTGTATAATCAATTGATAAATAAACTGACATATCAATAATTAATCAAGAATACAATTACAACATTTGCAAACCAGTGGGCAAACTGGTTATTTGGAATAATCAAGAGTGTGGTCATAAATAAACAATTGATCTTTGCCTTGAATTACTTTGTAGGGGTTGGGACACAATATGTGTGAGTTTGTAAAGATGGACTGAAGAGCTTTAGATGCAATAACTGATTGATTGAACGCAGCTGCGCGTCTTCTCACTGGCCATAAAAAGCGTCACCACATCACCCCAATTCTGGCCTCACTGCACTGGCTTCCAGTTCGGTTCCGAATTGATTTTAAACTCCTTTTATTTGTTTTTAAAGCACTAAATGGGCTGGCTCCTGCTTATATAGCCGAACTCCTCCAGCGCTACACCCCAGCCAGAGCTTTAAGGTCTGCTGACCAGCTCCTGCTGGTAGTGCCCAAGACCAGGCTAATAACCCGAGGTCACCGAGCCTTCGCAGCAGCTGGCCCCAGGCTCTGGAATAGTCTGCCCCTCCATGTGAGGTCGGCCCAGACCCTAGGGGTTTTTAAATCGACACTAAAGACTCACTTCTTCCCCCTGGCCTTCTAGTCAGAGCGCAGCACGACTCCTGACATTTCCCTGTGTTTGATTTTTATATTTGCTGTTGTCATTTATTGTCTTCTGTTTTGCTATCGCAGTAAAGTGTTTTTATTGCATGTACAGCACTTTGGCTCGACCAAAACTCGTTTTTAAAATGTGCTATATAAATAAAACTTGATTTGATTTGATTTGAAAATACATTTATAAATTGAACAATTAACTATATAAAGTAAACTAAGTGACACAAAAGGGCCCTGATAGAGTGTTGCTGGGGACAATACAGTTAACTCAACATTCCCACTTTAGCTGCATTTGTCAGTGCAAAATGTTACAACATAAAATATTCCTATTTACATCCCCAGCTCACAGCTTTCCTGACTGGTACATGGAAATTCATCATGTGCTTGAAACCATGCACACAGGGTATTATTCATAGTAGACTGAAAAGGTTAAGAAAAGGCTGTAAGGCTGTGAAACCAAAAGAAAGAGAAACACACAGTATCTTGTTCTCAAAATAGTATGGTAAAGATTAATTTATGCAAACATTCAACTGAATTTAAATGACTAATCTGTACGGTGAGTAGATATAATAAATGTTGTCTTCAAATATTTATTCTCCTCTTTCTTGAGTCCAGAAGGTGGGGAACGCCAAGGACGCAGTTGAGGTGGAGGAGGCAGGCGAGGGTGAACATGGATAATCAATGCAACAAGCTAGCACTGAATATCAAGTCTGAGTAGGTGGAAGATCCTCCACACACACACACACACACACACACACACACGCACGCACGCACGCACGCACGCACGCACACACACACACACACACACACACACACACACACACACACACACACACACACACACACACACACACACACACACACACACACACACACACACACACACACACACACACACACACACACACACACACACACACACACACACACACACACACAGCCAAAACAGTAGACACATGTGTGCAAGTGTACGCACAAGCATACACAGGCACGCTCAAAACCAATACACAAAACAAGCAGATGGTTAGGGGACAACTCTGGCCATGGCAGCTGAGACGAAAGGTGACATTCCTTATGCTAATTATAAAGTTCTCTTGTCAGACTGAACTTGTCCCAGAGTGTCTCCAAGGGCAACACACAGGGAAGAAGGAGAAGAGAAAAAGAAAGACATGGGGGATAAGGGTGATAAGGGATATGCTAAATACATAATAATGTTAGAATAACATTATCTGTATGATATTTTTGAGACAGTGAGTAATATTATGTGTTATAATGATTATTGTTAATTTTCTATAAAAAGCACTAGCTTTCAGCAAACTGACTTACTTGGTAACAGCAACAAAACAGCTTGATGACAACTGATCCTCGACACATTATGTACATATCCCATATTCTATTGATATGTATACAGACTATTTGCACTACTTTTTTATTATTTTTGTATTTCATTATATATGTTGCATTGTTGGAAGAGCTCAGGTCAGAATAATTTCATTGCCATTTCTACACTGTAGCTTTGTGCATATGACAATAAAACCTTTGAATCTTGAATTTTGAATCATGGCCAGGTGAATTTCACATTGATTTTAGTATGACTCTTACTTTAATTAATCCTGTTATATATGCTGGATAGACAGATGGTCTGAAATATTGTGCTGTTAATTCGTAAAGGGTTTTTATGACAGTTAAGATGCATAAACTACTACAGGCTTTATTTGGACAGGAACACATTTAATAACTTGTGAATTGTTTCTTATCACTTATTTTGTATGGGATTTGTCTAATGGGGACTTTTCCTGTTACTCAAGATAGTTAAATGGCTTATATGATGCCAGCTTTGGTCCCATGAATACATGAACTAATGTTGCCCCATTGTAGAATATAATACTCTCTACACCTATGCTGTTATTCTCTTAAGTTTACATAAGGGTTACGTGAATATAACGAAGATGAACGAAGAAAAAGTTGAAGGCAAACAAAAAGACAAAAGAAGCGAGTGTGGGAGAGACCAATGAGTCAACACTTGAGAAAAGTAATACACTTGTTGAATGGGTCTGTCGCCTGAAGGAGACAAACACATCCATCTATCACTGACAAGGCCAAAAGCCTGCAGAGACGGGTAACAGTGACTATACTGATCCATTTAAAGGACTCTGACATGAGAAGCTCAACATATATAATATCTTTATACCGTTCTGAAGTCCTTCTGGCAGTTTGTGGGTGGTAAAAGTGGTGTTGTGTGTGGCTTTTTGTGTACCTGAATGTCAGTTTAGTTGGCTGTGCATATGACTGCCTATTAAAGGAAGGAACAATAAGTAGTAATTGCAGATCATCATGAAATGTAAGCATACATTTCTGCTTGTTAAGGAAGCATTTTGAGAAACATGTATCAGCTGCAACTCTATGGAGCTAGCTACACAGCAATGTCTACATTTCTGAAGTAACAACGTTTTCTGCATTGATTTTAAACTTTTTGTTATGTTAAGACCAAAGTAAAAGTGTATGCGTGTGTGGTTGGGTGTGTCAGCGTCCTCACACTGTATGACAATGTGAGAAGAAGAAGCTATTAATATATATGCAGAGATGGCTCCTTGGTTACGAGAGGGAGGAGTCAGGTGGAAAAGTACAGATAAGATGAAAGTTTTTGCATGCTTATGAGAGAGAGATGCAAATAGGATTCAACAGAAACTACACAGGTTGCTGATTGCAAAAGAGGATCAAATGTATCTATCTCTGTAAAGTATCTTTGAGCACCTGACAAAGCACTTGATAAATAACATTTATTATTATTAGTATTTATTATTATTATCTAGTCTCTCAGAAGTAGCACCTTCCCACCAGTAAGTGACATATTGTATTAAAATCCCACACAGGACAAGTGAAGAACCAGAAGAAAGACGGACAAAGAAGGAATGGATCTACAGTAGCTATGCAGGCAGACAGACGGATGGATAATGCCTCAGACTGAGTGGGGAGGACTCGGGGGAGAGGTGGCACAAGACAGACTGGTCACTATCCCTTGGAGTAGCTGTGAGATTTTTGTAGGATCTGACTAACTCTGCTGAATGGCTGTCACTAGGGCACGTTCCCATGGAAACACAGAGAGCACTGAGCCTGGCAAACATCTTTACAAATGAACTGCAAAGAATCCTTTCTACGCAACCTTGAAGATTCAAACAAAAGGTCTGATGCTCAAGGTGCAATGTGCAGAAGAGGTGTCAACACACAACGTCTGACTGTGATGAGTTGGCAGACCAAGCAAACAAGACTTTTGTTTCAAATGCACTCTCTGAAAATGATGGCCTTCTGTAAATAAGGACTTGATGACGTCAAAGGAACTTACTGATGAATATGGGAGTTGTTGAGCATTTGAAGCAGTAGGACGACATACAGTAAAGATGAAATTGCTAATGTTTTGTTCAAAATCTATTTAACTCTTCTCTTTAAAGTGGAAATAATATATGTTTGAAAACAAACTTCCATTTTCTCACCTGTAAATCCTCTTGGTTAGTCCTGTAGTGGTCCTTCAGAACCGAGCCCCTCATTCCTTCCTCCCGCCTTACCCCCTTGTCTCTCTTCACATCTGGGCTCCAGAAGTTGACATTGTTCATGCTTGGACCCGTCCCACCATCCCTCCCAACATCCAGCTCTCTCCTCAGGTTGTCATTCTCCCTCTGCAGCTCCCTCAGCTGAGACTGGAAATCAATCGAAGGAACCTCTCCCCGTCCCGTGGGTTCCGATGCCTGCGGATGTCTCCCAGACTGGCGCCGCAGACTGGAAGTCCTCGCAGGATGCAAGCTTTGCTCGCCGTAGGGGTCTGACGGGTGATGGATCCCAGAGGAGGTGATGTTGGGGGTGCTGCCCATGGCTGTTGTTCGGTTAGTGTAGGAGGAGCGGCTGGTGCTCCTGCCCAGCGTCATGGTGCCTTTGGGGTACCCACCGGAGGGTTCCAACGAATCTCTCTCATAGGGGTAAATGGTGCCTGAAGTGGCATAGGCAGCACTCAAAGACTGGATGTTCTCCATAGACAGGGTTTTACCGCCTGGAGCTGTCGCTGAACCACGAGTTGTTCCTTTGTCTGTTGCTGTGCCAGGTTTGATCTTTGGACCTGGCTTCGTCAAGCTTCCTTGACCTGCAGGTAATTTAGACGCTGGTGCAGGCCCACCCCCTGACACCGAGCCTGGTTCTAGCCCAGATCGCGAGCCTGTTGCTGAGATGGCAGCCTGTTTGCCTTTCCGCTGTTTGTTGGATCTTGAAAAGCGTGAATGTGATGTGCCGCCATCAGTTTGCGCGCTGCTCTTTGGGGCAGCCAACAGTTTGCTCTGCGTGGGCCTGGCTCTAATGTTTATAGGCATTTTGTATATGGCAAAAGTGGACTTCTAAAAAGAAACTGCTATGGTTGAGAATACTTGCATGTCCCTCTATGGAACCAGCTGGATTAACAAGGTTTAAAATAAAGGCCCCCCCCTCGGCCTCTCAGTTTTCACCTGTCCATCCCTGATTGTTTAGGGCTTGAGGCTGAGTCTTATTTAGTCCTATTAAATGACAGTGATTGTTGGTTAAAGGGCTCCCAGACACACAGGTCAGAGGTCTCGTGGTTTCAGCTACAGTGCAGAACATCATGGATTCTAGACAGAAAAAGAGGGACACAATCATAAAACATATCACAAGTAGTATCACTAAATTATTCTCAAGGCAGGTTATTGTTTTTTATATATTGCCAACATAAGACGACATTTCCTACTGATTCAAAAAGAAAATGTCACTTACTGTAAGCAATATAAACATGTTTTACTCAGAAACGTTTTTTTCTTTAAACCTTCTGAACACCCTCACAGCTGTTTTTAGTTCATCTTAGACTTCTACTCAGGACTGTGTTGGTGTATAGACTGTAATGGGTTAACATATATTCCTGAGTGTCAAATACAGTCCAAAATGTATAATTTTCATTGGTAGATGGTAATATTTCGACCTAATACATTCTAATCAAATCTCTTTCCCACCTTCAACCACATTAACTTAAAAAAACACCTATGCGAGTGGTCAGAGTCCTAAACAAGTATTTTAAGCTGTTGCAAATGTGGTACAAACACTAACACTTAAACAAAAACGTTGTTCAAATAAAAAAAGAACACAAAATGAGTCCTATTTAAATAATTTGAACAATAATAAGATTAAGCAAACAAGCCTACAAATATGACGAACAATGCCCATGACTCGTGGTTGAAAAAAAAATACTTTAAATAAAGAGTACCAAGTATTACAATTACATTCTTGATCTAGTGCCATGGTTTCCATCCCTGCCTCTGGGAACCCACAGTCCTGCTTTTTCCATCTCTCCCTGCTCATGTGAGGACAATCAATGAAATTGACTACAAATTGCTGCCAACGCTAATCAAATATTCAAAAGGTGGGCAAAACGCTGGGCTAAGCTATACATTCAAGACCATGAGTCCAGGAGCAGGGTAACATGTATCTTACTCTTACTATGCACCCTGTAATCCTCTCTGATGGGAGTGATTCTAAGGACAGGAACACAATGTCTGTTTAATCACCAGGCTATAGATTAATGTAAAGGACACCTTGCACAGCCACATTCCCACAGTAGATGGTGAAAGAAAAAATAAGGGAGAGGGACCAGCTTGACCATTTCAGCACCACGGACAGCACTCAATCCATCTTCATTCTGCCTGCACAGATCTCAAGGAAACAGGGACACAATAGTATCATTGGCAATGGGCAGTGCAGGCTGCCATCCCTTTCGTCAATTTGCAAAGCTCATTGACAGACTATATCAGGGCTGAAGACATACCGGTTCTTTTGGGATGCGATTACAACGACAAAGGGAGGTACATTAAAGTCAGGCTAAATTAAAGTAGCCTATATAGCACTATGGCCATTTTAGAATATAATCAGGCTACAGATTATTACACTATGTGTTGGAATCATACACAATGTTGGATTATTTGAGGCAAAAAAACATGAAATAAAACAAATGTGTAAAAAATATCCCCAGGAAATCAAAGTAAGCACAACGCAGACCATGATAAACCAGATATTGGGGACTGTCTGCAAAAGCAGAGGCAAATCCAAATAATAATCCCTCCTCTAATCCAAAAGGATTGGGTGCTTTGAGTCTCTGCACATGATGCAAATGAGCGATTGGTTAAATCTGCTTGTCAATCATAACATAGCTGTCAATCCGTTATCCATCATTGTTTGAGACAATGAATTTAGTCCTTTATTTTGTACAATAATTGTGACTAAACACAATGATCACGATTATTAAATCATATAAAATAAACGTTTAAACATGTATAAACAACCACACACGGTAACTTGTCACTATTGAAGCTTTGTCTACAGATATCATTTGCATTAAAATGGAGGTCAGCGTAACTGGTCAATTTCGAAGGGCACGCGGCAAGTTTAAGCAGCTGTGTCCATCGTTGTTTGACCACACTGAACTGACAAATACAAAAATGACTGATGAAGTAGAAAACGTCTCACTTCGCCTCATGGCATGCCTCTGCACTTACTTGTGAGTTGGCAGCCAGCTGTTGCCGCGAAGAGAAAACTCGAGTCGCCACCCAAACTGCAAAAGCGTAACTCGGTAGTTTGCATTTGAACATGTGCCCCTCTCATACAACTCAACAAGCGGCAAACCGAAGATACAGTATGAAGTAGACTGCACTATCCTTCACGGGTGGCATGAGCGCGGTGCATGCAGTTGTGCACAGTCGCCCGAATAACTCCACGACCACGGCATGAAGGATTAGTTTCTTGCTCATATGCACACGGCTACATGACTTCGAGCTAGTACCTTACATAATCATTAATCTGTCACAGACATTGAAGCACAGTTTCATTTGTTTAAATACTGTTGTCCCATGATGCCACTGAGTCCAAGTGTGCACGAAACGTGTGCTCGATCTTACCGGACAGGCACCTCTCCATCACCGTTAAGTCCTAACCGTATCCTGTCCGACCTCGGCGCAGGCTCCATGATCTCATCGGCTCAGCTCCATCATGACCTGTCCTGCCATCGGGTCCGCGTGGGCGCGCTCTCCCAAGCTGGCGCGTGCGCGACCTACGCGGAGTAGTGGGGCCGTGAGCAGCAATAAAGGGAGGCTTTCTTTTTTCATACACCTACACAAGCACCAGTTTGGCATTGTACAGCATTTGCAATGTCTAACATACACTCACCAAAAAATGGTTTACATTGAATTGCATTCAATTTGTTTCAAGGCAAGCAATTCCCTGACAGCCATGAGCCATCAATAATTTGGCATAACCGGGTGTTTGTTTATAAGAGAGACAACCAAACTATGTTTAAATTACACCACCTGATTAGAGAAAGCCACAATAGTTTTGGATTAAATATGTTGACCTTTGGCAGGGCCTGTCATTACTCTTCGAGGAGGTTACAGGGGCCTACAGCTGTTCAGTTCACTTTACATTTATTTAAGTATTTATTGTTAGGTTTCTCTTTCAAAAAATATACGCCGCGTGTCTAATGGTATTCCCAGGCCACGAGATAAAAAATGAAACTGGAATTCGAAAAAGAAATGTTAAAATATGTTCAAGGTTCAAGGTTCTTTATTGTCAATCTGACATAGCTACAGAGTAATTATGTAGTTGAAAATCTTATGTCACAGGCTTCTCCAACAATGGAACATAATAACATAATAACAATAAGAGCAAGAGCAATACAAAAAGAAAAACAGTTATAAAATAAAGTGATGATGTGGAATAGTGCAGTACAAGTCTATATACAAGCTATTGGAATGATACATATATATTAGGTATTAGATACATAATACAGTAGTAGTAGCAGATGAATGTTTTTAAGTTGTTTCAACAGTTCAATTTGTGTACAGTACACTGCAACAAGTAGGCTACAAACACAGTACTCCATGTTGCTGAATCTATCCTTTAATATGTTGCTTGCACTTAACCCTTGTATGTTATTCGGGTCTGTGGGACCCGTTTTCATTATTTAGCTAAAGAAACCCACACTCAATGGCCTTGGCTCATTTTCTGTGAAGAACATATATCAGAACACATTTTCAATGACCACCCACTGTACCAAATATTAACCATACTCTATATGCTGTTTATATTGCTTGTAATTGAGATGAAGTAAACATCTGTTGAGTATTTTAACATAAAATAGTTTGATTGTGTTGAATTGAAGCCCAAAAAGGCAGCGGCTCCACCAGACCCAGGGTTAAGTGCGAAAGTTTGCCCTTTACATCTCTTGAATAATACCAGGTGCCATGTCTTACTTTAAATGGGTACAACATATTCCGTTGTTAGTCATGTGACATTTCAGATGTAATCCTTAGTTTCACTTCCTGCCCAAATCTAACCAAAGGGAAGTGAGATTTTGTAATATGGGGCTTGGGGCGTTTGTTATACATACATTACATGACTCCTTTGTAACACTTGTGAAATCAAGCTACTAAAATTAAATCAGTTGAAGTTTATTTGCATAATCCAATATCAATGTCTATGTACAAATTACAGCGTGTCTAATTTGGCAGCCCACAATAGCAACATGTCCCTTCCTGGCCATAGCATTCTAAAGACAAATAAAGAATCAATTAACAATTTAGTTAGATAAAGCAACAAAACACAATTTTGAGAAGTAAAATATTTACACTGTATAGAAGAGTGGTTCTATACATGAATAGCAAGATAAAAAAATTAATAAAAAAGGTTTGTTCATATTAAGTATTGGGAAGATTATTGACAAAGAGGACTTTTTCACTAAAGTGTCCTCAATCAGAAGATAAAAGAAAGTCATATAAAACTTTCACTCATGTTGTTATCATAGAATTTGAGGTTATCTGATGACAGTGCCATTCTCATTCGGTTCCAGAAGAGTGGTTGGGCCCTTGGGTTCCTCGGCCATGACAACACAGAATCTTTGCACAACCGTTTTCTCAGCTGAAGGTACTTCAGTTTGGGAAACATCTCATCCAACAGGACCAGTATTGCTGCATCCACCTAAAAGAGGTAAAGTAAGACATAATTGAGTGTTGTGAAAACATGGCAACAGGTTAAAGGGGATAAGATTCTCACCCAAAAGATACATAATAATACAAGTTAAATATACTAACCTTCTCGTCCAGAAGCCGCTGCTGAACCATGAAGAAAGCCTGGCGAATCACACCGTTCACCGTTTCACCACCAGTGGCTCCACTAGATAGCACAAACACTGTCTTGACACTGCTGTTGACAGCATTATGAAGATTATCAATACATGAAAGTCCAGGAATCCAGTCCCTCTCTTCCAAACAGAGACAAAAATTCCTGTGACCGGAGATCTCCAGATTGACGGTTAACTCATTGTAGACCCAATCGCTCACAGCCTTGTTCCTGGTGTCAAACACCACAAAAGCATCATACTGATAACGTGAATTACTTCCAGCAAGTTGGGAGTAGCCCTTATGTCCTGCCCAAAGTACTTGTAAGCAATACCACAGGTCCCAGCCATAGAGATGCTTCAGTAGGGGCAGAACAGTGAAGGTCACAGCCAAAAAGGAACAGACGAGGAAGGCTAAGCCACCGTATATGTCCTGGCAGGAACGCTGGTCCGTGGACAGCACATTCGCGCCCTGTTGGGACTCTGGGTAATCACAGTGTATATATGTGGTGAGATAAGGAATCTGTACCGCAGTAGTACGCAAGAAATCTGTAAACGAAGATGTATCACAGTCACATTTAAATGGGTTGGCATGCAGGGTGAGTATCTGAAGGGCACTACCATTTTTAAAGGCGGGAGGGAGAAATTGATGGTTCAACGCTTTGATCTGATTGTGGCTGAGATACAGGTAGTTCAGGGATTCCGCAATACTGAAGAAATCATCAGGAATAACGCTTAGATGATTGTGACTGAGGTCCAAGAGGGTAAAATGTGCTCCGAAATCTATTACTTTATTAGGCAATGAATCAAGGAAGTTATGACTGAGGTTCAGGTGAGATAAATTGCTCAGCGTTTTGATGTTTTCCCATGGGAAATTGTTCAGCTTGTTTTTGCTGATGCTTAGTTCCTCTAAGCTTTGTGGGAGGTTACAAAGCACTAGTGCTGAAATTGACTTCAGCTCATTATTAGAGATGTCGAGGTAGGTGAGGTTTGTCAGGTTCTGAAAGAAACTAGTGTACTTGTTGTTATCGTAATCCCACATAATGTCCAGGTGATTTCCATAAAAGTAGAGGTAGTTTAAAGAGCTGCTGATCAGCCTTGGATCTATACGCATCCCAATGCCATTGTTGGCCAGACTTAGAGCTTCCAACTTTGTCAGACCTTGAAGGAATCCAAAATGGTGGCCCATCCCCTTCATTTGGAAGTGAAATTCATTGTTACTAACATCTAATACCTTTAGAGTGTTGTTAAGCTCACTGAACGTATCGTTGTAGTATAAGTCAAGTCTATTGAATGACAAATTAAGAAAAACTAATTTGTTCATGCTATCAAACAGACCGCCCTTCATTGCCTGGCTCATGTAATTGAAGGAAAGGTCCAAACAAACAGCATTTTCCATGCCTACAAATACTGTTTTGTAAATTGACAGAATGTTATTTTGAGACAGGTCAAACCACAATTTGCCGTGGCAGAGGGTATCTTTAAAGTCTGAGAGGAATTTAATTTGTCTCACATTGTGCTCCAACAATTCCCCACGGTTTGTCTGGCTTGATTCCCAGGTATTGCTTCCAGATGTGGATTTGTGATCTGATAGCATAAGGCCTTGGTCAGGAAAATTGCGTGTGTACAAGTTCTGTGCCACAATTCTAGATGATGAACATGAGCAGCAAGGAAGAAAATTAATGAGGTTTTGGGAAAGGTCAATCTTGATGAGTGATGGTAACTGTTTTAGAGAGGTAATGGGTAGGGAAGTATTGATGAAGTTCATTCTCATTTCTAGTACCTTTAGATTTTGAAGTTTGGACACAACACTAACGCTTTCATTGGAAAACGTATGGAAAAAGTTACCACTCAGAAGAAGATATTGTAGAGCAGACATATTGCAAATATATGGGGAGAGGATCAATTCCGGAAATATCATCAGTGGTTCGTAGTTATAGATAAGGCTGATCCAAGTGAGGCCCTTCAGCTCTTTAAAGAAGGTGCCATTACGTATAGCATATGCCAGGAGGTTGTCGGAGAGGTCCAAACTCTTCAATTTCTTCAAAGATTGGAAAAGCCCCACTGGAAAGGTTTTCAGTGAGTTTCCTCTCAAGCTTAGGAAGTTGATTGAGCTGTTCTCAGCATAGAGTGAGTTGTTATTTAGGAGTAGAGGGAGATTGTGTGGGCAGGGAAAGCAGGGCCTGGCTGCATGGTCACAACGCTGGCAATTCCACTCTAAAGTCAAACTCTTGAGGTTAGTCAGGTTGGCAAACGCTCCTTCTAAGACCTCTGTAATTGCATTCTCTTTTAAATCCAGAAGCTCCAGTGAGGGTGGCAACTCTAAAGGGATAGCTGTAAAATTGTTATACCCTAAGGTTAGGTTTTGTAGCTCAGAGAGTTGTCTGAAAACACTCTTGTTGATGAAGTAGGGCTGGCCACAAGGATTTGCGTAATAACAGTTCTTGCTGAGGTAGAGCACTTGCAGTTGTGGAGTGTTTAATGGCTCTGCAATGTTGAAGATGCAATTATTCTGTAGGTCAAGAACCAACAGGTTTTGGGGTAACCGGGGAATAGAGGTGAGGCTGTTTCCTGACAGATACAGATATTTAAGCTTCGATAGCTTCTTCAGGGCATCATTGTTGATCTCCATTTTGCACAATTGTTTCACTGAAGGTCTCAGTTGATCTGGTCGACAATTCCCCATTATTTTCAAGGTGTCAAGGTTTGGGAGGTTTAAAAAATCATTTTGCCCCACTTTCCGTATCTTAGTTCGACTTAAATTGAGTGACACAACGTTGGGAGACTTAATAAAGTGGAAAGACTTGATTGGTCTGTCACAGCAGTCCACTGCAGTGCCATTAATATCAGAGTCACATGGTAAAAAGGTGGTATTTATGGTCCTCGCCAATGGAAGAAGTTGAAAAATGATGAAGATATTTTTCAACATAGCCTGTAAAAAGAAATAATGTTTTTACTCGTTTGTTTATGTGTTACAATATATAGTCTGGGCAATTCTCTTGTGCACCATATCAAGCATATTCACAACATTTCTATTGAGATCACCCTTACTCGGTACTAAAGCATACAATTGTTAAGATAATCCCTTTCGTTTTGTTAAGCCTGTCCAATGAGCCATTTCTGTCCATTTAACGTAACAAAAGAGTAGCTATATCATCTTCTTAAAGTAGAATGTAGTGCAATTAGATAGCAGAATAAAAATTGTTTTACTTACCATGACAGGTATAGGTTGAAGCTTAACATTCACATCGGCAGCCAGATGAAGCGACGTTTGGTGCAGAGAGAAGATAGAAAACGGATCCAAAAGCAGCTGCAGTGCTAGGAAACTGGATCCATGTATGCAGAAGTGAAAGCATGTGGTCTTACACATGACAATGGGACACACACCATGTGACCCAAGTCAAATTAACAGAAATCGATATCACCTCATGTGATTTAACAAAAGTAAATGTCCTGATGACAACACCTTTAGAGTATTAGAAAAATTAAAAAAAAGTTCAATGTTTTCCTTTTTTGACTGCAGAGAAAACCCCAAAAGGAAGGAGAGAGAGCATTGGTTGATCAAGTTGGCTAACTTCCTAATTCACTGATTCTAAAGAAAACGTATAAGGAAGTAAACACAACATCATCACCTGCTCAGGGACAGTTTCATCCCACAGGCAATAAGACTCTTAAACACATGAACTGTTGAAGCAAAATCTGTTAAACACTTGAACTGTAGAAACAACATCCTTAATATTCATCTGGCTGCTACTTAAAAATTATTTATCTATTTACCTAATATATCATATTCCAATAACTTGCATATAGACTCTTATTGCACTATTTTAAACTATTTTTCTTTTTGTATTTACTATTTACTTGCACTATATTTTTCTGTTATCTGTGTTTGTGTTGCACTGTTGGAGAAGCCTGTGACACAAGATTTTCATCGGCATAACTACACTGTAGCTATGTTCGCATGACTAAATAAAGAACCTTGAACCTTGCTTCAAAAATCCTTTTCAACCTGAAAAAAATGCTAATGTTTCAAAAGATTCATTCCACACTAGTAGCATTTTGACAATCATTTTATTAAATGTACATCTATGTAAATCATAACATCTAAAAGTATAGCAGAGAAAATGAATGTTCATTTGTTACAAGCAACACACTGAAAATGTCTTTATTTTCTCAGTGTGTTTAAAGATTGCAAAGGCAAAATTGTATGAAAAAAAACAACTTCTATTCAAGTAGTGTGTTAAAATATTATTTTTACAAACATTGGAAGAAGCAGTGGCAGTTACCATAGCCACAGATACAGTAGATTAGATAGAAGTAAAGGACAGTTATACAAACTGTGTTCAGGTTGGAGAGGACATTCAATGCTTTGGCTTTGGATTGGACCTCACATGGTCCCGGAAGAGTGAGCAGAACACCCATTGCACACCATAGTCTCCTGCTCTCTTTTCCTGGTAGCAAGATCCTTGGCACACCACCATGCATACATTTACAGTAGTGTGTACCATCACTTCCACAAGTGTTGAATTATCCACAAGGCGATGTTCATAAAGCCATCGGACTCAGCATCAACCTTGGAGAGAGAGTGATTGTTTCCTGGGTACCACAGTAACCTAAACAACACACACTGGAGCATTAGTGAATGAACAATAAAAGCCATGTTGTGCAGTGCATAGCTGACATAACTGATAAAACACGTCACTCGGACAAGAAGCTCACCGGACTGGGACTTTCTTTGCTTGCAGAGCTCTGTAATATTCAATTCCTTGCTTGCTGGGTACACGCTTGTCATCTTCCCCTAAGGTAAGCAATACTGGTGTTTGCACCTAGATAAAAAAACATCCGAGGTTACTTTATTGTGGAACAAGACTAATGATCGCAGTCAAGTGCAAACACAGAAATACTCATACCTGTGCGACGTATCTAATGGGGGATTTGTTCAGCATTTGTTCCCACACAGCAGGGTCAGGTAGACAGTCTGTAGTGTAGTCAAAGCCAGCCTCAACCATGCACCTGCAAAAACAAGCAATCTTACATAAACACGAAGGGAAAGCTTTGAGGTTTCGTGTTGCTGCAGTGTCTTTGTGTATTAGGGGACACTTCCTTTTCTGACAGTTAGTCAGAAACATCCCCTGCATCCCACTCACAGCTGTGAATGTCAGCGGTACAAATGATACTAAACAACTAAGGTGAGAAGTTGTGCCCAACAGTTACAAAAGTGTACGTATATGTGGGAATGTGCATGCCAAGATGTACCAGTCTGGGATGTCTGTGCTGCCGATCATAGAGGCCAGATTGGTGACAGGGTTGCGAGACACACATGCCTTGTAGAACCCTGGGTACTGGCCAATCAGATGACAGGCCAGGAAACCCCCATGGGAGCCCCCAGAAACTGCCACCTTCTGCATGTCGAATTCATCACCTTTCAGGACACTTTCCACAGCAAACTGGTAGAAAGAAAACATTGAAAAGACGGGTGAGCAAAAAAATATAAAAAGTATATATATATATATATATATATTTTATTGTACTATTGCGGTTGAGATCCATGACTCAAACAGAAACTTTAAACTAAATATAGAAACAAATGAATAGCATAAACTTGTAAATCATCGTTTGGACCAGCCTTTGTTGCTCTCGTTTCATTCTTACTTGAACATCCTTGACGTCCTGGGTGCCAACGTTGCCAGGTAATGAGAGGATATTGTCCTGGCCGTACCCAGTAGAGCCTCGATAGTTGACTAAGAAAGAACAAATACAAAACTTGCATTACGGTCTGATTATCATTGCTAGATATTATGATTTATTCTGACACAGAATTAACACAAAAGTGAACCAGTCAAGATTTTTGTCGCCTCAGAGATACTACCCCCCTGAGCATGGTTTAAAACATGTTTGATAAACTGAGCAGCTGCAACTTTCCGAAATGAGCAAAAGTAAATAACCTATGAAAAGTATAAAATAACGGTTGGTAATTCAAAACTTGCAATTTGTTTTTACTGTTTTCTGCTCCACAGTTGAACAGCATAGATGGAATTGAGGATATCTATCGAGTGTGCCATATGTAGGAGCCATGAAATGTACATAGTAATGCATTTTGAATAAACACATTTGTTTTGTACAAGTTTTATATTTGGGTAATGGTTTGTATTTGTATAAGATATTTGTTTGATCGCATTGGGTTGGTTGCTTTGGGTCACATGGTTATGGGCGGCACTCAGGGGAATTATAATCCTGTTCACCTGCGTGAGGTGTGTGTGGAAGAGGGTCGTTGTGCTTTTTGTTGACCGCAAGTTTAAGGATTGCTTTGATTATTATAACAATGTCTTTGTCTACGAAAAAATAAGTTGATCATTTCATTAAACTACGTTATTATTCACTTCAATTGTTGATCTCAGCAAGTGCTTTTTTTTAGCGTGTCATACAATAGCAAACAGGCCCGCCTCAGCCTCTCAGCGACTTTGTTTGTTTCCTGCTGTCGCTATACAATAGAATAGCAAGTATGACCTCACATTTCATGACAACGAGAAACTTTAAAGCAGACACACACCAAGTCATGAACAATCCAGTAGTTTTGCACTTAAAAGTAATTTCTCTTTGGTAAATGTACCAGGTACCACCAAATTATGATTGGTTATGCGTGTGAACTATATGAAAGCTTTTGAAATGTTGACACGATAGGAACAATATATATAGCTTCTTAAAATGGGTAAGGAGAACTTTGATGAACACCTGTCCTAATTTGAAATCCTATAAAAGTAACCTTCTGTCTTCTAAAACAGCATGTGAACCTTGATCACTCCTTTCACACACATCTTATTAGTGGATGATGCACCTCTGAGCTGGTGGACATCACATTAACACATGAACATACCCATTAATACAGCAAAGCCCATCCTGCACAGCACAGACGAGTAGAGGAACCAGTCGGCTACAAACACTGAGTGAGGACCCCCTAAATAAAAGAAACAAGTTATGTTAAATGAAGATCGACAATTTGTTTTCAAAATGCCCGTGTCTATTTGTGCTCAGTCGAGTGAGGCAAAAGTTCGACAGATAATTTGCATTTCAAATTAAAAAAAAGAGTATGTGAAACATCTCAGTAGTGTTATTAAAGAACAATCCTGATTTTAAAAGTATGATTAAACAGTACGCTTCTAAGGGCACTATCACCATGGCAACCACAGTTGGCATTAACAGTCTTATCTGAAGCAGTAGCCCCTGACTGAACAGAAACAAATCCACACACTCAATCATTTGCTAATAATAGCACTTTGAGTGCAGGCATAGTGCATCAATATAAACACTTTTCTTATATTAATTTAGCTTTTACATCATGCAGCTCTCCCTAAGTGTTCATATTGTTTGCAACAAAAACAAACAAATAATGAATACAGAACATTAATGACAGTAACGAACCATGAGGAGTCACGATGAGAGGCAGCTTCACTCCATCTTTCACTTCCTTTGGTTTGATCAGCAAAGCTTCAAAATCAAGGCCGGCTGGAAAAGAGAAGTTAGTTAGTCCCATTAGGGTTTTATACGCTGTTCTTCATGTCTCATATAGACAGCTTAACATTTTCAACCGTCCATTAACTTGGGGATGTTATATATTCTGTATCTTTCATGTTTGCGATAATAAATCAAAATGACTTCCCTTTAGACAATATAAGGAACACAGAGACAAAAATAATGCAAGTCTGCTAGAATGCATATCTAGATATTACTTGAAATGTTTCCCTGTCATCCTTACGGTATTGACTGTTGTCTTGCTCTGGTGGTGGGGTGAAAGTCAAGATCTGCCAATCAATTTCTGGCAACATCTGAGAGTCTTCCAAAGTATCCCAGACCACTTCCTCCTGAGAATCTCTGGGTGGGAGGAAACCTACCCTCTGGGGATAGAAATGACAAAGCAATAGGTGACACAGACCAATCAAACACCAGCCAACCAACTGAAAAGATGTGTTCAAGTAATAGTATATTTATGATATAATATGTATCAAAATGTGAACATTTAAATAGAGAACACTGATCTTACCAGACGTGGAGGGCAGTTTGGAGAGGAGCAGCTGACCACCATCAGATCTCTCTCTATGTTCAGCAGACACCAGCTACCAACGTCAGACTCTACAGGCAAAAAAGGGTCAATCATTCAACCAATCAATTGTCAACACCAAACATCATGTGTACACCTGAGCATGAGCAACGCCAAGGGTGACAACATTTTTCTTGTCACTCACTTGAAGTCAGAGAGGTGACGCTTCCTGTGCTTGTATCCACCATCAACAGATCCTACAAAAAAGAAATATATTCATTTTTCAGGTAAATAATAATGTCTTCCATGTACAGTATGTATGTACAATGTACATGTATCAGAAACAGTATTAAGCCTTAAGGTTTAATTGTTTTGACATGGCAGCAAAACATCTTCCAGTAGTTGACTGTACCTTGCGGCTGCGCTGAGGGCAGGAAATAATGACACGCTGACTGTCAGCTGACCAGCACTGACGGGACAACTGAGAGCTGTAGATGCCAGTAAAGCCATCTGTAAAGCCACACCAACACACACAGTTACAGCAATGTTTCATATATAATGATAAAAAAGGTGCAATCATGTGACCACCAAGTTTGTCTTACCTTCTCCAGGTCTATTCACCACATCCACCACCACGGAGGTCTTCTTAGTGTACCAGTCAAACTTAAAATAAAATATACAAGCACAGAGGAAAGATTATGAAAACACTTGAAACTCAATAATGTTCTTCTGCTTGAACACTTGTGTATGCGTGCACAGCAGAAAAGAGCAGATGGTGCTTTGTGTAAGATACATATGTTTCCCCTTATCGGGAAGTACTATAGAGTGGTGCAGTGATGAGTCCTAAAACCCGGAAGTGAGTTAGCATTTTACAGGGTTCATACACTTTTTCACCAATGATTTTCAATGACTTTTCCATGACCTTTACCTAATTTTCCATGACCAAAAAAATTACTCTTTCACAGCGGTACCACTGAAAATGGTTTATTTTAACATGGAACAGGAAAATAAGGTCTGCATATGAAACATGTTGTGCCTATCTAAAACAAATCAAATAGTAGGCTTACTAGAAAATATACAAAATACCAAACAGATCATGCATTTTAGCCATGCTTCATTTTGCTCAATTTGCACTTTTTTAGCTGTTTTTGCAAGGGCTGATTCTGTGAGAACAGCACCATCTACTGGCCTGACATATGTACTACAGCGTCTCCAGCGCTTTCGAACGGCAATGGCCGTGGCTGTCTCCTCCTGATTGGTGGAGTTGGCCCAATAGCCGTAGCGCCACTGTCCTGACGTCAGTAAAGTGTTCAAATCTGGATCAGTTTTTATCAGATCCGTTGCAGCCCCTTTTTTAGAGATTTGGGTATGGAGGAAAATAGAGAGGGTTGTGTTTTCTGACACTTGGTGAGTTCCCTGGAACACCGGGGACACATATTCATGTATAAAAGACATACAAAAGTACATTTTGCATGATAGGTCCCCTTTAAATTTCCATTACTTTTTCAAAACTTTGGGAAAAATATTGTTTTCCATAACTTTTCCAGGGCCTGGAATTAGCATTTTTAATTTCCATGACTTTTCCAGGTTTTTAATGATCGTAAGAACCCTGATTTTACCACTACCGGTTCCCTGGTCTCAGAGTCAACGGGATTTCTCCATAGGATTTTGGAAAATAGCTCGAAATAAGGTCTGTGGTTGACACACATTTAAGAGATGGATCACGTTTTGTTCTACGACATTAAATACATCAGCAGTGATTTTTGAAGAGTTTACGTGTCTGAAAAACGATGGTTGTTAACAAGTGGCTGAATAGGACTACAGAAGTTGTCGAGGACGTTGTACGTCATTACGCCGAACACGTAAACACTCCCGCTGAGTTTGTTTGCCCCTGTTCTGCTTGAAAGCAAGTACCTGCTTCTTGCAAACTGTTAAAACAAACGCTTCAACTTGTACAATTTTGAATCTGTATTTTTGAATATCGATCTTAAGTTGGCGTGACGTTGAAGTCGTGCGACCCTGCTGTACTCGGCTGTAGTTCGATTATAGCATAACGTTGGCCTTTTGCTTCTGGCGATTCGATTTATGATTAGAAAATTATAAAACTAGGGTAGACATGAGGATATTATCCGGCTGAACAAAACGTGCATTTATCAAACAGGTTCGTTTTCCACAGACCTTATTTCGAGCTATTTTCCAAAATCCTATGGAGAATCCCATTGCTTTTTTGTCGAGGGAAACCATGCGCAGTTTATTTCCGGGTCAGGCTACACAAATACGTCATCGCTGCACCACTCTATGCACTTTGTAATGAAAGGAAGTAAATGTGTCCACAGGAAAAGAGGCTCCATCCTGTCTTACCATGCAGAGCCTGCTGCACTGCATGTGCGGGCCAAAGACAGCACATTCCAGGTAGACAATCCGACACTGGTCTGGGCTCAGCCTGGGGGAGCTCACTGCACTGGTGCCTGATGTTAGCTCCTCTGAGGGTCACGACAAAAACAATGCATGTGAACATCTGGAGTAGTAACACAATTGAGCTACACTTGTTATAAACATAATAAAACAACACAAGACAAGCATTCACTTACCACATTTCCCACCAGCAAGATCCACATAGTACAAAGACGAACTGATAGAGAAAAGGGGGACATGAATAATTTGTAGTATTAGCTCATGAGCATTTTTGGGGTCATGTATGATAAGCCAACTTTAATGTGTCTCTTTTATCAGTGTGAACAGCGATCACCTCCTGTTGGGGCAGAACTTGAGGCCAAGTCTGAAAGGCTCATGCAACCAACCAACAAACACCACGCCTGTGTCACCTGGAGCCCAAAATGCCTGTAGAAGCAGAGAAAAAGTAATTGAGAGAAAAAGAGAGAGAACACAGCAGGATTAATGAGCACACCAAAAGTGCACAAGAAACATATGAAGCACTGCACACAAACTGTTGTACCGACCTGTCCAGGTGAGATATTGTCAGGTACGTCCTCTAACACAGAGACGTTGTCACCCTCGATGTCCAAAACACAAAGCACTGGACAGCTTTTACCAACCAGCCCCTCTCCCCAGTCCTCATGGAAGACAAACTGCTCTCCCTGCAGGAATAAAAAGGCCACACTTTAACACTACATCTTAAGCTAGAATGGAATGCAAGATTTTTTAATTAAACATTTGTCTAGTTTATGTGTTTTGCGTCCAAAGTATTAATTGCGTTTACTTTCACAGTCTCCTTTTCCTCCCTTCTCACGGTCTCCTCCTCCTCCTCCTCCCCAATAGAAGACAACTTTGGTGACTCACTCTACAAACAGAAAACAAAACAAACAGCAACATGTTTTTACTAGTCTTTATTAGACAGATTCTATATACCTGTATATACCAGACTAAATTAAACAAAGGACATGAAACCTGATCCGATAGTCTTACAGTCTGCTTACAGTGAGTCAACGGAAAATACCTGGGTTGCATTCAAAATGAAACTATTTGCAAAAGGCCAGACTATGGAATGCTTTTACCATTGAGCGATATGGTGTACATTACGTCTGACTTATAATTTGATCCAGTTTGCTATGCATTTGCGGTTAGCCATTAGTTCACCACTTGTGTATGTTTTGCATCATATTACATGCATTTAAAGGGTTCTTTAACAGTGTCATGCCCGTGGATCAGGGTGTACAGATAGAGGCTGTTGTAGGCTGTGATTGTAAAGCCCCTTGAGGACATTTTTAGATGTTGTGCTATAGTTAAATTGACTTGACTTACAAACCGTTTCCTATGCTCAATATTGAACACAATCCCAACAATGACATCAGGGAGAATCAACATTCTTGAAATGTTCAACCAAGGGAGAGCAGTTCAGCAGTTCTCTGTATTATGTGATTTGGTGCCAATTTATATACAAATACAGTTTTTCTAACAAACCTGGAAGAAGGATTTTGCCTTAGGTCTCTTCCTTTCTGCCACATACAAGAGATGTGTCTCAGAGTGGGACCACACCAAGCAGCCAAACTGGTCTAAGGATGCAAAACACAATGTTATTAACACAGGGTCTGGCATATGTAAAAGGCAAAGCTTAAATTTAATTATTTAACAAACAAATGTGCAGATTACTCACCATCTTCATAGACTTTGCCATGTTTTTTTAAGGCTGTTAGATTTATGCTTTTCATCTTTATGTTTTTACTCCAGATCTAAAAGGTCACAAAGAAGCAGAAGAGAAGAGATGTCAGAGTGTGGGTTTCAAAACAGTAGATGAGGCAGAACAGAGTTACAGATTAACATTATCATTAGAGCAATTCAAAAATGTTTTGGTAAGGCCTGTGAGGGACTTAATGCTGAATCTGAGCCAGACACACACCTCCAGAAACTGTTTGTCCTCTCCTTTGATTGTGCACTCTCTGACCACAGCCTTCATGTCACCTGAGGGGGAATCCTTGCTCTGCAGCCTGACAGGACAAACATATCAACAGACATTGTTTAGTTTGTATACAGTTGGTTTAGGGAACTAAAGATAAAACAACAAAAAGGGTACATACTCTCCTTTGATCTCAGTGCAGTTTCCTGAGGCTCCAGAGTACACCACCGACTTGTCATCATGAAATACGATGTACTGTCTGCAAACATTTACATTTTCATTCCTGTCCAGGTCACGTTGGCTCCATTCTACAGAGGAAATCGAACAACATTATTTCAAAATCAATATGTACAATATCTTTCATGACAATTTTACAGTGGATGGCACAGACCTGTGTAGATGTTGCTGTATTTGCCTCCATACTGAGAGGTGACCACAGGTCCTACGTCTGCTCTGCTCAAAGAAGGGAAGAGGCTGAGCTCTCTGTAGAGCCTGGCAATGTCCTCTGGGTTGGTCACCACCTGACGACAAGCAGCAGAATAACTCGCTCTACGCCTCAATACAAACTGTCCAACAACGAACACCGCCCTATTCATTTCCGAGCTAAATGGTTGATAGCTGCTAATAATAATAAGCTGTAGTCATAATAAGTTTGTTGTGTTATACTTAACAGTTTACCACCAAAAACCGAGGTAACTTTATAAACATAAGCATAATCATTAACGCAAAACAACCAAGCGATTGTCGAATAATGATTAAAACAGCATAGTAAATAAGCTACTTGTTTTTAGCCGTGTTTGGAGGATTACATATGGCACGATACTTACTGCAGTGTGCTAGCTTAACTTTAAAACTGGCTACAGTGAATGTAGTTATTGACACCAATAACGGCTTAATTAACACCGTTAGAAACGTATAGGATGTGTACTTCTAGGGTACAATTGGAGTTTAGAATCAAGGATTAGGCATTTAATTTAGCGTAATCATACCTGTGAGTTCATGACAACGACGGTGTGTATCGCTACTAGTCTGCTGGAGTACAAAGCGGTACTTTCACTCTACTCTTTTTCTACCTCTAACTCTGACTCTGTTTCCCCTCTGCAGCCTCCTTACTGCCCTCTGCTGAAATTTGCTGGCAAAAAAAAACTGAAATAAAAACTCACCCTCAGGATGTGTTATTTGAATCAAAGAAGAAGAAGAAGAAGTGTTATTTGAATAGTTTACACACGGTTGACCCTAATGACCCTTTCTTCCCTTGGCCTTTCTTCATAGCAGTAACGTGTGTCGATGCTTTTATTTTATAGACGAATGAGCTTTGCAACAACCAACTGGAAAAGTTGACAAATTACAAATTATAGCTTTTAGCGCCCTCTTGCGTCATCCTTTTAAGAGTATTTTCATGGTGCTTATCCAAAGTTATTGATTTGAGTGTGTTACATTAGCTTTCGAAGCACAGCAATATATATTGTGTACATATTAGTTTGTATTTTGTTGTAAGTATTCATTCAATATTGTGTGTGAATGACAACCAGCGCACTGCTCCTGTCAGTCAGCTGGAGTAGGTGGGGTCACAAAGAGCCAAGATGGCTGACTTTGAGGAGCCGCTGTCAGAAGAAGAGAAGGTTTGAAGACTGTTTTATTCTTTGCTTAACGTTGTGTTTTTATTATTTGTTGATATCAACCTGTCTTAAATGTTTACATGAGGTCACGGTTGAGTTTTTGGAAAGACAATGCCAGATTTAGTCATGTATCAAGATGGTAAAGTAGTGTTTCTAGCCACCACAAGCTAACGAGCCGATGCTAGTGAAAGCTTATAGTTGGCTAGCGGTGAAATCAAAGGCTGGTAGAAGGCTTTAACCACTAGACACAGAACAGTTTATAGTTGTTGAAATGTTATCTTATAATAATTGTTTAATAAAGTATCGACGCCAGTTTTCAAAAGTCGCGTTGCATTGCCAGTGTCTGCAATAATTACAGTATGGGCTACGTATTCCTCTCATGTGATGTTAGCTAGTATTAGCGGCTAACGTTACTTGTTCAGGATTTCTGGGTCAGACAGATTCAGTTGCAGCTCAAATACTTGTTAGCCTCTCCAGGCTGCAGTTCAGGATACCGGTGCTTACCGTTTATATGGAGCCTGATAGTGACACCCTGCCAGTGGCAGCTGGACACATAACCAGATGGACGCAAAGCTCAAATTAATAACAGACAGTCGTTCCTTGTACCCTCATGTAATTAATATTATTAATTATCAATATACCATTAACATCAACAGAGTTGCGACATCATTTTGGTTATAGAGAAATATTTAAAATTAAACATGTATTGGTGGTCCACAGGAACATTTAGGGCAAGATGATGGCAGGATTTGATATTGACATGACAGTCTCTGGACAAGCGTTTATAATGCAGTGTCCTCTCATAAAGCATTGTCTCGATGTTTAATCCTTCATTCACAAAACATACACAAAAGCTCATATGTTGGTAAATAAAACTCGCTTGATGTTATTTGTTGTTATTATTGATTGAGTTGTTTTGTTCTAATCGAGATGCTATACTCATTTATAGTTTAAGCATAACAGCATGCAGTGTAGCTCTGAACTGATTTAATAGCAGGTCACATTATCATGATAAATCAATTAATTGGTAGCATTTCATCTGCTTTCATAGGTACGCATAGCAGCCAACTTTGTGACTCATGCCCCTCCGGGAGAGTTCAATGAGGTCTTCAATGGTAAGATGTGACTAATTGTGACAACATTTGCATAACAATAATAATATTGTATTTCGTAGAATATATTATATGATCATTTGCTTGATAATGGTATTGATTGTTTTTTCTTATGAAAGTAATGCATAAACAGTGGTTTCTTTGTGTCTTGCTAGATGTGCGACTTCTTCTCAACAATGACAACCTCCTCAGGGAGGGGGCATCACAGTAAGTAACATATTTTTATGAAAAATGCCAGAAATTCCAATACTCAAAATGTACAACATTCAAAACACTCGATCCGCCATTACATCATATTGTGTTTTGATATATATTAGGCACTCTTGATTATAAACATGGCCAGTGTTTTCAAAATAGTCAGTGGAAAACATTTATTTGAAAAATATGGGGGGATATTATGAACGCCTACTGAACTTTTGTTTCTTTTCCATTTGTCCAGCTCCTTTGCCCAGTACAACATGGATCAGTTTACTCCTGCCAAGCTAGAGGGCTATGAAGAGCCGGTATGTTTAATCCTTAAGTCTTTCCTATTTATTCCAGAAGAGCACGTGTGAAAGCCAGTCTTTTTCAAATCTTTCCCTTCCCTTTTTAATAGGTCTTGATCACAGAGCATGGGGACTTGGGTCAGGGACGTTTCCTGGACCCTCGCAACTGTTTGGCTTTTCGCTTCGACCACTTAAGAAAAGAGGTGAGCGATGTCCAGCCCTACGAAGGAGAGACGGCCCTGAGAAGCTGGAGAGATGCCTGTGATACTTCCCTTAGTGCCTACGTCAAGGAGCACTACCCTACTGGAGTGTGCACAGTAAGGCGCACACAAATTGTGACAAAATATTCATCTGTGCCTGACATTTTAAATACTCATACTTGATACCATCTGTGCAGGTATATGGGAAAACCGTTGATGGTCAGCAAACTATCATAGCCTGCATTGAAGGACATCAGTTTCAACCCAAAAACTTCTGGTATAGTGACTTTCCTGCAAACCTTTGTTTGAAATAATATCTGAATATAGGTCTGCTGTCTGTTTGTAATGATGGGCTTCTCTTCTCTTTAACACAGGAATGGTCGCTGTAGGTCAGAGTGGAAGCTAACCCTCGGTCAGTCAACTGCTCAGGTGGTGGGAGTGCTGAAAATCCAGGTGAATTAAATTTAGTGAGCTATACTTCAGAAATGGAAAAAAAGTCAGAGGGACATTAGTTTTTAAACTCGTTTACTAACGAAAGTCTTGTCTGTCTGCAGGTGCACTACTATGAAGATGGGAATGTGCAGTTGGTTAGCCATAAGGAGGTAGAGGAATCAATACCAGTGACTGTAAGTGAAACCTTTCATACATGGGCACTCATGCAGTCTCTCAGCAGTGGTGTTAACCTTGTGTTGCTTACAAAGTTTAAGCCTATAAATAGGTTGGAAAGTAATGATTATATATGTGTTTTTGAAACAGAATGAAAGCCAGACAGCCAAGGAATTTGTTGACATTATTGAGAATGCAGAGAATGACTACCAGGTAAGCAACCCTTCATTTTATAAACCTTTTAAAATGCTAGGTCTTATTTTTATCCAAACCTTAAAAGAAACAATTCTTTTTTAAATGAAAATGTGAAGATGTTGTACTTAATATTTGTTGACTCCCACCTTTTCTCTCAGACTGCCATCAGTGAGAACTACCAGACCATGTCTGACACCACCTTCAAGGCCCTGCGTCGCCAGCTGCCTGTCACACGCACTAAGATCGACTGGAATAAGATCCTAAGTTACAAAATTGGCAAGGAGATGCAGAATGCCTAGTGGAAGGTCAGGGACTTACCAGGGAGACGCTCAATCCACTGGGCCCACAACAACCCGCCTATACATGCGCAAGGACTAACCAAAGCAAAGCTTTATCAGTATGGGGCAAGGAATTATAAAAGAAAAAAAAAAAAAGTATAACTGAAGATTTGCAGACAGTTAAGCACAGATATCCGTCTGCTGTAAGAAAGTTATGGAAATAATCATGGTTGGGAGAAAGCGGTTACTTCTGGGTGTGTGTTGTAAAAGAGTTGTGTTGGGTCAGTGTGCAGGGCTTTGCTCAGGACTGCTACGTATAAAGTAGACTTCCAGAAGTCAAAAGTTAAAATAGTCAATCTGATGCAGAACTGTGGAGTTCTCAGCACACAGAGGAAATAACCAGGACCACACAAGGCAGCTGATGAGAGAAATGAAGCACACCATCACATATCAGGGTTTAATTATAAGAAAAATATAAGTATTTGGAAAGCATTTACTGGAAATGTGTACTGGTACCAGTAGTTGTGTGTTGCTAGTGAAATTGACAGTATTTCTAGCTGTGCACGATCCTCAGCATAGCTCTGTTCCTGCACTGTAGACCTGTACGTCTGTCTCTGTCTGTCCGGGCTGAGGGAGTGTTACCTGTTTTCTGTTGCACTCCACTGATTTATGTCTCCACCCATGCAAGCATTGATGACTGAAGATAAAGCAACTTCCACGCTGTAACGTATTCTCTGTTCTGTTACATCGGCAACACCACCTCCATTGCTGTACAGCTTTTCCTTTGTAAGAAGGAAAACATACTCATATTAACCAAGATTTATTTGCCAAAATCTCTTTCCTATGGTAAAGAACTCCATCTTCCAACCCATGTATGCAAATTTCTATTTTAATATGCCGTTTTTTTTTTGGAGTCTTAAAAGAATGCACTCTTAACTGTAACAAACGTGTATTGGTCGATGCCCAATGGACGCATCACAGTAAAGCAAGATCATATACTGCTGACAGGACTTCTGAAAGGCCATATCATATTGTATGTGTTACATAACGTCTGAGTAGGCTGACTCTGGATCAGTTACTTGTTATACTACGTGCTGTGTTCAACCCTCACACCATACGACAACTGTGTGCCGATCAGTTATAAAGTTGAAGACTGTACTGCCCCATTCTGTTGTAAAAATAAATGGATTGAAAATATTGGATAGATTGTTGTTTCTTTACATAGCGTATTAATCAAGATTGTTTTACTAGCTGTTTTAACAGAAACACCTCGACACACTTGGCTTTAAGGCATTGTCAATGTATTTATTAACAGCACTGGATGATGCAAGTGTTCATGATATGTGTATTTATTGAGAAAGCTGATGGACGATGCCCTTCACAGACAAACGGTGTATCAATCTACAGTTTTTAATTGATTGCTTGAAACAGTTACTTTCAATCAATTCTTGATTTTAAATCCAGAAATGAACAGTAAACCTAAAAAGGTACATCATAGTGCTGTAAGGAAAAGACAACACTGAATCATTTGACGGATACTATAAAAACTAGCAGTAACAAGATACAAACCTTAAGTCCCCATCATGTTC